TTTATTTTGGTTTGTTGGTGCCTATCTTGGGACTTGAACTCAGGGCCAGGGCACTGTCTCTAAGCTGCTTTTCTTCAAAGCAATTCCAGTTTTCTGAGTGGTTTACTGGAGATCAGAGTTTCCTGCCCGGGCTGGCTTTGAACCGTGATCCTCAGATCTCAGCTTCCTAAGTAGCTAGGATGAAAGGCGTGAGCCACCAGCTTGAGCTTGGTCTTTCTGAAAGTCCTTATGGCCATGTCCTGGACAGGCCTCCCATTAGTGCCTATTTTTTCTGGGATAGCCAGGCCCTGGCCTGTCCCCCAATCCTCACCTGAAGTGCATGGTCTGTCCACTCTCCCTTGAGCCAGAAACATTCCAACAGGGCTGGCACTGTGGATCGCCCTCAGGCCTCTTGTCCACCCTCTTTCTGGCCTTCACAGATAACCTATGTTGAACCTCCTATCAGCCTAAGGGGCCTTGGCTCTGTCCTGTGTCCCCACCTATGTCCCATCACTGAACCCTTGGCTCTCCAGCAAGAACTGAGCCAGCTGTGCTCCGAGGCCTCCACCACTGGGCTCATCCCACTGAGGGACCAACCCTCTTGTGCTTTAGGTTCTGGCCCAGACTCGTCTGGGAAACGGATGGTGGATGACGCCGGAGAGCATTCAGGAGATGTACTCGGCAATCAAGGCTGATCCTGATGGTGATGGTGAGCTCACGCCCCTTCACACCTCTGACCCTGGGAGCCACGCCTCCTATTCCCCTCTGGGAAGCTTGAGCCCTTACCCGAACAGTAGAGAACCTCACGTGCCCCTTTCCATAGTGGCCAGAGACAGGAGGTGAGGGGGTGTTTTTTGCCCTGCACCTCCAGGACGTAGACAAGTCAGCCAGCCCCTACCCAGGCTCCTTGGTGACAATCTAGGGGGCAATTCCTGGAGACCTTTTGCCCTCCTCGGACAGAGGTGAATGGAGCTAGATGGAAGAATTTGGCTGTGGCCTGTGGTTAGGGGGCTGTCATACTGCCACCAAAACAGAGCTGCTGTCAGCTTGTGAATGCTGAGTAGCTCAGGAAGCTAGGTAGATGGTGACTCAGCCTGCAGAACATAGAACAAACTTCCCGGCTCTCTCCTAGAACCCTCAAAGGGTGGATCCCTTGCTTTGTTATAGGACCAGAGCATGAGTGCTTCCTTGCTGGGGGTGGGGGGGCTCTAGGTAGGATTTATTTGCTAGGGTGGGCTGGCAACCCATCAGGAAGGACTGGCTAAGTGAGTTCCACTCATGAAGAATCCCCCTAGGATGTAGCCCAACTTACACTCTATACAGTGTGGAAGGTCCTGGAAGGAGAGCCAGCACTCACTGCTCTCTCTTCCCTTACTCTCTACAGCTTAGGGGCGTGGCCACCACACTCCTAGAGCCTAGGGCCCTGGCCAGGTAGCTCTGCCTCCTTTTGGAGCCCCTTTTCTCAACTTGCTCAGTAGGGGTTTGGGTTTCTTCCTTCTGGGGACCAAGTCAAGGCTTAAACAGAAAACAAACTTCTCTGGGTCTTCCCTTAGGGCCCGATGTGACAGAAACCAGGTTCATCTGACCCAAGAGTCCAGGTGGGGACAAGTGCACATGGCCCCCCAGTGCCTGAGGCCAGGGGCTGCTGCTGCCTTTGGGGTAGGTAGGGAGGTACTGCCTGCCACTATGGTTTCCCTCCTTGGGCCTGACGGGCACTGATGACGCATGCTCTGTCCAGGAATGCTGAGTCTGCAGGAGTTTTCCAGTGTGGACCTTCGAGACTTCCACAAATACATGAGGAACCACAAAGCCGAGTCGAGTGAGCTGGTGCGAAACAGCCACCACACGTGGCTGTACCAGGGTGAGGGCGCCCACCACGTCATGCGCTCCATCCGCCAGAGGTGAGCACCTGGAGCTCTCTTCCCTGGGGCAGGGCCTTCTGCAGAAGTCCTTTTAGTTACACATTCTAAAAAAAATTGAAGCCAGGTGCCAGTGGCTCTTGCCTGGAATTCCAGCCTCTCAGGAGATCTGAGAGCTGAGGATCTGAGCTGAGATCTGAGGGTCATGGTTTAAAGCCAATCCAGGTAGGAAAGGCCATGAGACTCTTAGCTCCAATGAACCACCGAAAAGCCAGAAATAGAGTCGTGGCTCTAAGTGGTAGAGTATACCAGCCTTGAGCGAAAAAGCTAAAGGACAGACCCCAGGCTCTAAGTTGAAGCCCCAGAATGGAAATACACAAAAATCACCCTGAGGGCTGGGAAGGTGGCTCAGTGGTAGAGTGCTTGCCTAGCATGCATGAAGCCCTGGGTTCCATTCCTCAGTACCACATACACAGAAAAAGCCAGAAGTGGCTCTGTGGCTCAAGTGGTAGAAGGCTAGCTCTGAGCAAAAAGAAGCCTAGGGACAGTGCCTAGGCCTTGAGTTCAAGCCCCAGGACTGGCAAAAAAAAATCACCTTGAGAGGAAGGCCTCACCTCTCCCTCCTCCTCCTCCCAGTTTAGTGGAAATCTCAGTTTATCCAATCCAGTGCTTCCCTCTATGCTTGGCATTCATGAGGAAGCCCATCTTCCCTGGGAGACTGAATGTCCACTGCTCACCAGGGTGCTGCGCCTCACTCGCTTATCACCAGAGATCGTGGAGCTCAGTGAGCCACTGCAGGTTGTGCGATACGGTGAGGGAGGCCACTACCATGCCCATGTGGACAGCGGGCCTGTGTACCCAGAGACCATCTGCTCCCATACCAAGCTGGTAGCCAATGAGTCTGTACCCTTCGAGACCTCCTGCCGGCAAGTACTTCCCACCAGGGGGCGGGCTCCATTGCCAGGTGAGCGGGCGGGGCATAATCATTGGACCACTCTTAGTCAGTGAGGTCCTTAATTCTCCCTCAAATCTCTGCTGAGGGACTGCTAGCCATTCGGTCTCAAGGCAGTGTAGATGGACATACTTGCACTGAAATGAGGCCTCCAGCTGGGCCTTCAGATCTTTTGCCACCCTTCCCCCAAGATTTGATCTTGACTTTTCTCAGCCTCCTCCCTCCGTAGGTTGAGCATCTCCTTTGCATCTAGCTGTTTCGGCTCAGCCCCCTTCTTGTTTCCCAGGAGATCTTTTGCATAATCTTGCTGATTGTCCAAGCCTACCTTTCCCAGCCTAGGCTTTGGTCAGTAATTTAGCTAAGTATGATCATAAGACAAAAATCAAGCCATCAAATAAACCAACAAAATACACACACACACACACACACACACACACGAAGAGACAGGATTAGTGGGAAGGAGGGTTTAGGGGAACACTGGACGGTAGTCTACCCCATTGTCAGTCATCTTAACCCTCTGGTCCCTGGAAACCTGGGCATTTTATGTTGCCTACAAGTAAGCCCCTGGAAACAGCCAACAGTTGGGGACCTGCTCAGCAGATCCCCTGTCTTACAGCTACATGACCGTGCTGTTTTATTTGAATAACGTCACCGGTGGGGGCGAGACTGTCTTCCCAGTAGCAGACAACAGAACCTACGATGAAATGGTAAGGGCCAACTCTTCCTCTTGTGGGCTGGCAGGGCCCTGGGCGAGTGTAGGGTATCCACCTCTTCCGCACCTGGGGGGAGGACCCAAGTGGTCCCCTGGGCTGGTCTAGTTGTTTTCCCTCAGGCCGCCTTGGCTGCCTTGGCCACACGATGAGAAGGGAGGCTTTGAAACACTCCATCCACTTTCCCGCAGAGTCTAATTCAGGATAACGTTGATCTCCGGGACACTCGGAGGCACTGTGACAAGGGGAATCTGCGTGTCAAGCCCCGGCAGGGAACAGCAGTCTTCTGGTACAACTACCTGCCTGATGGGCAAGGTGAGGGCCATGGCCAGGCCAACAGGTCTCCCTTACCCATCCCCCCCTGCCATTTTGGAGGGCTGTTTCCCAACGCCCTCCCAGATGGGCTTCTTGACCTTGGTGCCTTTCCAAACAACATCCTTTTTTAGTGATTTCAGTAAGCTACCCTAGCACCTGTGCAACCTCTTGGGTTAGCTTGGCCCTTGCCACTCTGATGCCTTCATGTTCCTGCTTTGGGGGGGGGGGATACCTATCTCTCACCAGCCAAGGCTGGTTTCACAGGGCCAGTGATGCTGATCATGTTGGTGAACCAAATGATGGGCCCTCAAGGAAGCCTTAGGCTTGGACATGGGCTCCCCAAGACATGAATAGGTCACTGTTGGGCCTGCCTACACTTTGTCCCCTCCCCCCCCCCCGTTTGTCTAAGGGCCGAGTTCACGCATGCCCACATCCAGCCTGCGAGGGGTTCCCTTCTCAACCTTGTCCCTTGTCCCCACCGCCCTCCTTTAGGTTGGGTGGGTGACGTGGACGACTACTCGTTGCACGGGGGCTGCCTGGTAACACGAGGCACCAAGTGGATCGCCAACAACTGGATCAACGTGGATCCCAGCCGGGCACGGCAAGCCCTGTTCCAGCAAGAGATGGCGCGCCTGGCCCGCGAGGGGGGCGGCGACTCGCAGCCAGAGTGGGCCCTGGACCGGGCCTACCGCGATGCACGCGTGGAGCTTTAAGGGGAGGGGGGCGACGTGGAGGCCCGCTGTACCCCACCCCCTGCGGATGTCCCACCCGCCCCGCGCCGGCCGCCCCCGCGGGCACCCCCTAGATTCCTTGGTATTTATGGCGTCCAGACCCCACCCCCACGCTACCCGGGCAAATAAAAACCACCAGGCTGGGCGACCGGTCACCGGGCAGACAATACCGCGGCGCCGGCAGGGAGCGGGAGACCCCGCGGGGATGCGCGGCCCGGGCTTCGAGCGCTCCGCCGGAGTCACGTGAGGGGGAGGAGGGGGCGAAGCCACGCCCCCACCTCTTCGCGGGCTCAGCCAATCAGGGGCCGGATTGCGTGGGGCGCAGGGTCGTCATTGGACGACCACAGCCCGGCCGCCGGGGCTTCGGCTACCTGTAGCTGAGGGAGCCGGCGGGTCGTCGGCCGGGCGGGCGCGCGCGGAGGGCTCGTTCTCGCGAGAGCGCAGCTGCCTGGCTCGGAGGAGCAGCCGCGGCGGCGGGGAGCGGAGCCGTCATGGACGCTGTGGAGGACTGTGTGTGGCCGAGGGCCACGTCGGAGCTCATCCTCCTGCCGGTCACGGGCCTGGAGTGCGTGGGGGACCGGCTGCTGGCGGGTGAGGCTCGTGCTGCAAGCGGGTGGGCGAAGAGAAAGTAATCTTCCGCCCGAGGCGGGGACAAAGGGCCGCGCGGGGCGAGGACGGGGGTGTGCGGGGTCGGGGGTGTGCGGGGAC